ATATACATATATATATGATATGTATAGTACATGTTGTTTAAATGAGACATACTTACATCCTCAAACCTTTAGCATTTCTTTGTGGTGAAATCTTTCAAAATGTTTTCTTTTAGCTTTTAAAACATTTAGCACCTTATTATTTTTGACACTCACAGAATACACAATAAATGATCAGAAATTCTTAGTCCGATGTAGCCCAGCGCAGAACCCATTACTCAATGTCTCTCTGTGTTGCCCTTCCTTTACTGTTCCTGGCCTCTATCGACCAAAGTGGCACACACAATTTCTTTGAGATTTACTTTTTTAGATTCCAATATGAATGAAATCATGTCCTACTTGTCTTTCATCAGGTAATGAACACAGGTTTTTTTTCCATTTCTTGACTATTTTAAGTAGTGTTGAAAAGAATATAGGAGTGCAGATGTCTATTTTACATATGGATATCTTTTCCTTTAGAGCTACACTCAGTAACAGAAATGCTGCATCAGATGGAAGTTGTCTTTTTCCATCATGGCTGTAGTAAATTATATTCCCACCAAGAATGTGCCAGAATATTTCCTATGTCTTCTGTAGCGCTTAATAAAATGAGTTTTTGTGTGTCTGTGTGTGCAATAGCCATTGTTACTGGGCTGATGGGATACTTCATTGTAGTTTGGATTGCATCTTTGCCCAGAACTTTGACTAGGATTATCCTTCGTGATATAATGTACTTTTTAGATCCTGAGAGATTCTAAATTCCAAAGAAAAATGGAGTCCGCCAGATAATAGACATGGCCTTGCACTCTGTAAGAGAAAAATGCTAGAGTTATATTGTCTTATTTTCCAGGTGCGTATGTGCTCCAGGTCAAGGCCACAGATGCAGATGACCCGACCTATGGAAACAGCGCCCGAGTCGTTTACAGCATTCTTCAGGGACAACCTTATTTCTCTATTGATCCCAAGTCAGGTAAATTTTTTATTAGAGACAGCATTATCATCGCTCCTTCAAATATTTAAGCTTTAATTAAATCTTGGCATAGGAAATTGCCTCTTCTAATACAGCAATAAAGATTCAGTGAGCCACACATTAAGCAAATAAGATAGCGTCTTACCTGCCTGCTTGCAAAACTATTTCCTTTTGATTGAGCTTTGTGTAAATATAAACCTCTTCCCATTATGTGTGTGGAGACCAAACTTCTCAGCTAGGGATTCTGTTTGTTTTATTTCAAATTTCCAGACATCCTTTTAGTGAAGGGAAGGAGAGACTTGACAGATTTGAAACACCAAGATCATTGGTTGTATTAGCCTGTGTTTTTAAAGCAAGTCACGTTTCTAAGTAAAAAAATAAATAAATTGCAGGTTTTAAAACTAAGTACAATTTGGATATCATAGCAAGCATGGGAAGATAGGCACATAGCAGATTTTACGTCCATTCCTCCATTCACCTTCTTTTCATGTTATACTGGGGATTGAACCCCAGGGCTTTAACATGGTCGGCAAATACCCTAAGGTCTAAGTTCTTTTTAAATGAAATCAAGTCCCTTTCTGTACAATCTGCTTTTGAAAGTAGAATATGCTGATGAAGAGATTCAGTGAATTTGACCTAGGGAAAATTAGCTTCTCCGTGTCATAATTAAAGCAGAAACTCCAAAATGGGTCATTCTAGCAACACTTGTTAGATAATATACTATTACATATTGTACAATAAACTGAACACTATTTTTCATATTGCATGAATATATTGGACCAATTGTCAACATAACAGACTAACATGCTTTTTGTTTTTTGTGGTACTAGTGATCAAACTTAGGTAGCATCAATCTGAGTCCTAGCCCCCTTATTTGTTTTGTTTTGTTATTTGAATTTTGAAATAATATCCTGAGGGTAACGTTTCCAAGCTAGCCTCATATTTGTAATCTCCCTGCTTAAACTTCCTAAGTAGCATGGACAATAGGCATGTGACACCATTTCTACAATTTATATTTGTGAATTAATATTAAAGACTAAAATCAATGTTAAAGTTATAAATTGTATACACTGCAAAGTTATATACAAATGCAATGGGCTAAACCTTTCAAAATGTTCTATTTATGAAGTGGTATATTTAAACTTTACTACAACTATGACATAGTCATAATTAACAATTAAGGATTTATTAATGTTGCATAGAGCACACAGATTGTTAATGGTTGTCAATTAAAATAGCAACGCAAGCCAGGCATGTTGGCGCACACCTGTCACCCCAGCACTTGGGAGGCGGAGGTAGGAGGAGTGTCAAGAGTTCCAGCCAGACTGGGCTCCCTAGTGACAGGGCTGACCTGAACTACAAAGGGAGATCCTTCCTCAACAAAACAAAAAACAATTTGGAAAACTGAATAAAATAGAAATGCAGAACCTGCAAAATTTTGAATGAACTCAACACACCATCTTCTCCTCTCTTCACGTCTTACACTCCTCGTCAAGCCAGGAGGGCATCAAATCTATGAGGAAGCAGGGAGTCACTTCCATGTATAAAATCTGAAATATGTAAAATGTAATAAGGACAGATCAGTATTTCAGAAAACTCCACAGGAATATGAACTTGAGAAAAGTCTAGAAGAACTAAAGCTCCTTTGGTTTGACAGAGAACTGGAAATCAAAAGTCAGAGGGTCAAGGATAGCAGTGAGTGTGTGATGAAGACACGACATTTCCAGATTATTTTTCAGGAAAGATGGCATTAAATGTAGGAAGATGTATGGAAAGATGAATTTCCAAATTTACTTTAATGAGAAATGTATGTGTGGACACAACATGTCCTAGATCCTTTCAGCTTCTGAGGGCTAATCCTCAGAGCTAGAACTACTAGAAGAAACAGAGAAGAGGCTATATAACTTTTTGAAGAAATAAGGATCTTTTGGTTATATTTTCTATCCTCTGAGCAACTTCTTTGATGGTAAAGATATACAGTACAGTAAGTATTGTTATTCTCTTATTATTTTGTTTTACTTTTTGACAAAATAACAAAGAGGGTAAAGTTTAAGGTCCTCCTGTGGGGTTGCAGTGATGAATTCTACAGAGTCTGAGAGTTTATACATTCAGAATAAGAGCGACTAAGAGTGACTAAGGAAAGATTAAAGATTATTACTAAAATCTCTTCATGATACAAATGAGGCCAATATGTAAGGGGTTTGGGGTTGGGGAAATGAGAAGGAGAGGTGGGTCAGAGGAAGCAAAAAGGATCAAGGAAAGGTTTGTGTATGTGGCAACGTCCCACTGTGAATATACTCATTTTTGTTGCAAATATACTAATAGAAAAATTTAAAGAGAACAAAGTGAAATTTAGGCATAAGGCCTGAGCTAAGATTATAATTTCTATGATCAGATTAATATTAGATGATATCAGTTATGTGCCTTAGAACATATGCTGTCCACTGTCCTTGGTCAGTATAAAATTTAGCTCAATTCTAATGCTTGTAAAAAGCATTATTTTACACTGGAATATGTGTATGCATATTATGGCTTTATAATTTTGCATTTATATTTTTATAAGGTGATTCTTATTTAGAACTAAAGGTGAAACAATTCTGGCATAAACTACATAATAGATTTTTGAAGCATTGATTTTCACTGGAGACAGAAGTCTCGATACTAACAGTGCCTCAGACCACTAGACAGGAAAGGAGTGGATGAGGAGGCACTTCATTAAGAGAATGAAAACTAGTTCTCCATGCACAGAAACCATTATGAAGACTTTTGTCAAATTTATCACCTTGCGGTAGATAAAAGTAAATCAAAAATCAAGGGTGATTGCAATTTCTCAGAAATAGTATCCATTTGTTCCAGCCATATAGCTTCCTTTTATGATTCCTTTTGCTGTTATTAAATAAAATGCATGAAAAGCCAATATTATCTGAATTTTGCCACATTTGAATACAGAAAACAGTTTAAAACCATTCTTAAAAGAACAGTCTCATCAGAACTTCTGATACCTAAATATTTAAGAAGATATAAATAGGTCCATGTATAGTCATTTGAATGAAACAATGAAATGGATTTTTTTGTATTGATATTTAGGTTTCATATGTGCTTCTCTAATCTCTAAGCAGTTATGGAAAGCTTATTTTTAAACATAAATATGTAATATTACTATGAATCAATGTATTATATGAAATTAGTCAAAAAGTAATTGTTTTCTTAAAAATTGTCTTATTTGGCAGTTATCTGCCTTAATTAAGAAATAATATATTCCTGATACTTTCAAGCGCCTCAAATTATTATTAAATGGCATTTTAAAAGTAACAGTATCCTCAAATCTGTAAAACACTAAACAGTTATGCTTATTCTAGTTTTTGTTTATAAAATATTTAAGTGATTTTTATATTAACATTCTTTCCTTTTATTATATAAATTTTTATACTTAATGTTTACAAACAATGGAAAATAATTAGTCTATGAAACATGAAGAGCAAAAATAATGTGACACTGATGATACTTTTCAGTATATGAGTTAGGATATTATATATTTTCATAATATTACTATAGAAATATTCCATGTAGGGAATCAAATACCATTAATAATTTATTCCTATGACCTAATTTATGATTAAAATTCTTTCAACAGGTATATATATATATATATATATATATTTGTTGTTGTTGTTGTTGTTGTTGTTGTTGTTGTTGTTGTTGTTTTGGTACCAGGGATTGAAGTCGGGTCCTTGCGCTTGCGAGGCAGGCCACCGAACCGCTGAGCTAAATCCCCGGCCCTGGTATATATTTTTTATAAGTTTCGATAAGTACTAGTCTGAGTTCGATCACTAACAATTAGCGCATGTCATATGACAATGATACATTTTATCTTTGTAAATTCTTCTGAGCCCTATTTGAAAAAATAATATATATATTTTTCATAAACCAGGTTTTTTACTGTGATAAATATACAAAATATAAAAAGAACCATTTTTACCTTTTTAACTTTGCAGTTCAACAGACAGCATTATGTACATTTGCTTTGTTACATACCCATCGCCACATTTACCTCCCGAATTTTTACATCATTATCTTTTATTTATTTCTGAAAATGCATGCTATACAAATTTCTGCCTCATGGATTCAGCAGGTTCAGTCCATGGTCAGTTTTTTTAAGGTGGAAATGGTATGGCGCGGGGCTTGGTGGAGGAAGGCTGCTCAGCTCTTGGCAGCCAGGGAGCAGAGAGAGGAGACAGAGTGACACACACCCTCCAAAGACATACACCCAGTAATGCACCACCTTTACCGGGTCCCTTCCTCCTAACACTACATTCTGTTATCGACTTTACCAATGGACTAATGCACTGATGCGTGGTCAGTCACTTTCCAAATCACTCCACCTCTAACTCACAGAACATTATGGGGACATAAGAGATCCAGATCAGGACATCCCTCCAAATATGTCCAAGTCCTAATCCCCAGGAACTGTGAATATGGTCTGTTATGTTTAATTCTCCTCTAAAGCAGAATTTGAGAGTGAAATTTAGGTCGCCAATTACCTGTTTTTGAGATGAGGGAAATTATCTTTTTTTCATATGAATAAACAGTTCTACTGCTACCTTAGAAGACACCAAAAGGGGCTCAGGAACTGTGATGAAGACATCTAAGTGGAAAGCAAAAAGCATTCAGCAAAGGGCGAACACTGCTGGTAAACTCATTTTAGCCTACCAAAGCCCATGTTGAACTTTAGATCTTTGGAGCTATAAAATAATAATTTAGTATGGTCTTAAGTCATTACATTTCTGTTAAATTGTCACAGAGGTAATATGTAATAGATGTTACCACATTTAATATAAAATTTTAGGTAAAGTGACGAGAAAGTCCTATAAAGATACCTTTGAGAAAAGAGCTGAAGCCTACAGTGAATATTTGCCCTAGCATGCCGTGCAAATGGCCTGGATGTTGATGCAGTAATTCCAGGAGAGGAGAGACTGAGTATGAAACTACAGTGAGTAAAAGAGGTATCTGTGGGGAAATGAAGAGTTCAGGGGGAAGATGGAGCTCTAAGGGACACAGACAGTTTCTGGGGATTTGAGAAGAGAAGAGAACAGTAACCTCCCTGTGAGAGGTGATTCACTAAGAACAGACTCACAGCCCGAGGAGCTTCTTTGAACTATAATCCTCAGTGAGTAGAGAATAAAACCAATCCACTCAATGGTCATAGTCCAAATTCACAAAGAAATACATGGCTGGTAGAAATCTTGAGTATTTGGAGGGAAATAATGGATCGAGTACTACACTATAGTAGCTTTTTTTTCAGAAGGGCTAGAACAAAGCTTAGACTCCTCTCCCTAGATACACAACTTCAAAGTAAGACTGAGATGAGTTGAAGAGTGTAAAGACGTCTTTTGCCAGGAAAAATCTCATTCCTTTTGCAAAATAAATAGCAGTGGGAGAAAGAAGCCAATATAAACTGCTTAATCAGGATGCAATTCGGGTGTAGGAGAAAATAAAATAAAGGAAGTACTGTTACACATTCTGAATTATAAGCAGAGGAATAAAAACAAAATGCTTTAAAATAATACTAATAATAAAATAAAATAAGCCAAAAACATAATTATTATACATACTATGATAATAGGTAGTTTTGTTAAAAGAGAACAAACAGGAAAACTGACTGACTCTAATTAAAAAGATTATACAGATCTCCCTGTCCTCTCATAGCTTTTAGTCTGATGAATGAAGATAAAGAAGCAAGAAAACCAAAGAAATGAAATGAAACGTTCTTTGCGCTACAACCGAATATCGTGTAGGGTATTTCTTTATTATTAAAGTATTTCTTTATTTATTTATTGTGTACTCCTTTCTTCCTGGAACTGTACTGTGAGGCCCAAAGGACTTTGTAGCCAAGAAAATGACCGGTGTAAGAACGAGAAAGATTAGACGCTGACTGGAAAGGTGTTTATCAGGGACAGAGTGAGACAAAGCAGCCTGAAGAGCGAAGAGGCTTGGGAATGTGGGACAGCCAAACCAGCGGGGTGCTAAGAGCCAGCCACTCAGAAGAAAACTACAGTCGTGGGTGATTGGAGCGAAACGGTTTCATTTGGATTTGCCAGGTCTTACTTTGTTTAGGGGGATTTAATAATTGTTCACCTTACAGTATTCGAATGATCTCCAGCCACATTGTCCTCCCTTTGATTTCCCATCAGTTTTGAACACATTATTCGTGTGAAATGCTATGATATTTCCTAGACTAAAGCCAAGTTATCAATCCTGACATTTACCACCATCCTTGATATCCTAGATAAGGCATTCTCTCTGTGAGTCACACATTCACTATCCTTATCAAAATAGGAAACATGATGTATTGATCTATTGGTGATTTATTTACCTATCTGACTCAAATAATAATAATAATGATAATAATACTTAATAATAATAATACCAAAGCTCTATTGAGAGTCAGTTTGATCTGTAAAGATTTTAGAATTATGAAAGTCTTAAAGGTTTGATTTCCTAAAAAAATAGGTACCACTAGAAGACCTCATTTTTGTGACAGCCAAAAGTGATCAAATGTTTATTTATCTCAAACAATTACTCCTAAAAAAATAGGTACCACTAGAAGACCTCATTTTTGTGACAGCCAAAAGTGATCAAATGTTTATTTATCTCTGAAACAATTACCTTCCTGGGCCTCTCCTTGGTCTCACTTAATAATGTGTTCTGCTTTTCTGCATCCAGGTGGGATGGTACTTGTTCTTGTGTCTTGATTGCTTATCTAACTGTTCTTATCAGATTGCTTTATTCTGTGTGTTTTCCTTTACTGCATCCTTTTCTCAGATCTTGGCTTTCAGGTTTCTTCTTAGGAATATCTATTCTGACTCTTTCCTTTTCCTTATAATATTCATCACCATCTAAAACCAGTTTAATTTTGTGTGTATTGCTTTGTGATCTGATCCATGTTCCCATAAACACCCAGCTACTAAACATAAATCAAGTAGTACTTATGGTATTTTCCTACAGAATATTACCTTGTTTTTATCTCAAGGTATTATCATTGGAATATTTAAACCAATTTTACAAAACAAATAAATCCATCAACACCGAGGGGATATTGACAGCAGAGTTAAAATATATTCTCTGGAGACTGCTGTCATTTCATATATTATTTTAAATGTCTAAGTCTTTCAACCATATATGTATATTCATATTGACCAAACTAATATCCACATGATTTTTGTTACTTTTGTTTTTACTCTAGATGCTTTGATTATATGCCTGGGAAAGTTAAATCATTGTAGAATTATATGTATAATTAGCTATCTACATTTTTCCAGTAAATACCATTTCTTTCTGAATTACGTGGAATGAAGCAAACTTTTGGCATCATAATTGTGCAATATTTATGCTGTTCCTTCTTTATTTGTATTCACTATGATCCTACAAGGCAGCTACTATATCTTTATCCACATCCTGAAAGATAGAAATAGACACACAGACCTAAAGCTAAGACTTGAAACAGTAATAGGTAATGTTTCCTTCTATTGGTTTCCTTCTCCAATCAAAATACATTAGCCCAGCCCTCAGAAAAGATTGCCCTTACTCAATACTATATAGCTTTAACTTCTTTGTTCATTTGTTTTTAATTGTCAAGCAGGTAATAAAGAATGAACAGCCATAGGTAGAAGAACAGTTTCATAAAAAAAAAGAATATTCCCAGGATTTTTACACAATAATAAAATGGTTATTTTCTCACGCTGATTATCATAGGCTTACACTTAAAAATGTGCGAAATGTATATTTTCTCTCTCTGGAACAGTTGTTGTTGATGAGAAGTATCGCTAGGGAGGGTGAAGTGCATCAATGTCCTCAATAAACATTATCTTTCAAACTACATCTAGATTCCAGTCGTCTTTCCAATTCTACCAAACTGTTTCCCGATAGGAGCAGGACTGGGAGCACTCGTGGGTCACTTTCCAGGCACTGGAGGGTGTTGGGATGGAGAGAGAGCTCTTGACGGTTTTGGCAAATCACACAAAATTCATCTATTCTTAAAACGATTGAGCTACCTATACATTCTCCTTCTCACTTGCATCTCAAGGTTTTAACTACATCCAGAAAATAGCATTTTATATATTTCAACAAATAACTTTGTCTCTCCTTTTCCCTCTCTCCTTATGTCTAATTTTCATACTGGGAATTCTTATACAGCAAAGAATTGAGTAAAGAACACACACACACACACACACACACACACACACACACACACATATATATTTATATAATTTATCTACTGGAAATGAATGGAGTAAATATATACCTTGATTAACAACAGGAAAACAGAGCATGTGTATGGATTAAACCCAGGAATTTATCTAGAAGATGAGAGTATTGTACTTCAGGCAGAAGCCACATAACTTCGGTGACTTATGTTGGGCTAGAACACTGAAATACAGAGATGAAAAGTCTTGGTTTTAAGAGACTTGAAAAGAAAGCATCAGGAGCTTGAGCAGAGGAGACGACAAACAGATTGAATCAAAATGGTGTCAGTACCAATTCATGAATAAAACATTAGTAGCAAAAATGAAGACTGTCTTTTTCTTGTAACTATTTCCTGCCAAGTGTCAGAGGAAATCTCAGACTGCGGCTAAGTTTGAATTAGCAGCAAATAGCATTTGGTAAGTAGATCACAGAAAGTACAGATAAAATGAGGCGGTATACTGCTTCTTTGATTTGAGTGCTATGTTTTTCTTAATGGCTGTTGTTATCTTAGTTCATCACACATGCTACTTATTTGTGAAATTACATTATCAAAACCATGTGGATTTAAAGCAAAAACCTTGCTATAATCATTTAGTATAGACTGGAATTTGGTATAGAGTTTTTGATGCTTTTACTTGCAAAGAACTACAAAGGTACTTACTCCACTATGAATAAATATAAATATAAAAGTTCTATACTTGGCCATAAGTATGGAAAATGAGTACCATATGTAGATATGCATATGTACTGTAAGATTCATGTTTTTTAATGTAATCGTTTATACATTCATCCTTTTCATCCAGGCATGCATTATTTTGGTCAGTTTCATATTGAGTGTCTGGAAGAACTTGGGACCAAGAGAAACAGTCTCAAGAAGGGTAAAGCTTAATGTTATGTTAAGAAAGAATCTGCTGCTAAAATAATGAATTCCAAAAGACAAAATATAATAAAGGAAGGAGATATTTCCTGAACTTTAAAAATAAACTGCTACATTTATCTAGAAAATAAAAAGGGCAAAGACAATTATAATCACTGGAAATTCCTCACATGACTTAGTTTAATCATTTACATTTTTATGTGTGTGTATAAAAAATTCAACAATGTCTTTGTAAAATTCTGAATCACCTATAAAATTTAAGTTTGCCGACTTAAGGAATCCTTACAACTAATATATTATTTTGTAACTGCTCTTAACTGCTGCCTTTCATTATGTGGCTGTTACCGCAATGTAGTAAAATACGTCATGACTATTGGGCAGTTTGGGGTGTTTTAATTTTTAAAAGACACATTATTGTAGCTAACGTGTTTGTTGCTGTATCCAGATAGAATCGTTGCGTCGCTGCCATATCTTTTTAGTCTGGAAAGCACAGTATTTATGACACATATGTTGGATTATTGTTTTTCCCCCTAAGGTGTTATCAGAACTGCTTTGCCAAACATGGACAGAGAAGTCAAAGAACAATACCAAGTACTCATTCAAGCCAAGGATATGGGAGGACAACTGGGAGGATTGGCTGGGACAACAATTGTCAACATCTCTCTCACCGATGTCAACGATAATCCACCTCGATTCCCCAAAAGTATGTTGACTCTCCTTCTAAGCTTAGCTTAGTGTAGCTTTTTAAATTATGATTTATAGTGTCATTGAATGCTATATAAATTGAAAGAACCTCCAAGATATTTCTGGTTTTTAGAAAGCACAAGCTAATGGATAAAATTATGAGTCTTCAAAATCTAAATTTTCAAGGAAAAGCTAAACATGTTACTTTTATGTAAGATAGAAATTGTTGACAATTAGGCATGTGGTATTAGCTTCTACTAAATTAAAATCTCCACAATATGTGGAGTCTTACCCTGATAACTTGTTAATAGAAAATACTATATTTAAGCAATGCTAAGTCTGTATTTATTGTATTTAAACATGTGAGGAATCATATTTATAACACATATGCCATCATATTATTTCACATCATATGATTTGAGTAAGAGTGCTGTACATTTTTCACAATTTTATGCGGTGAGCCATTTCCATATTTCAGGTAATATTGATTTTATTTACATTACTTTAATTCTGACTAGTTATTTCATTTTAGTTTTGCAATAGGTGAAAATTGCTATAGTTTCTCTGATAATAGAAAGTCACACCTGTGTCTTCTCTATAACTCTGTGTTTCCTGTTGAAAATGAATACTTCTCACTTCCGTTTCATCTAGTTTTCTTTTTCAGTATTGCATTTAACAGCAATCAGTATCTATTCACTTCCTGGTGCATTTTCAAGGATTATTTCTGATTTTCTAACGTTTATAATGCTGAAGCTGAATGGGTTTATTACTGGTTTTATAGGGAATTTGATTAAATTACTAGGTAGTTATTCACCTGAACACTTAAAGCATTTAAAACATCCCCCCTCTCACTGCAAAAAGAGAGTTTATGAGTCTATGTAGTAAAACATATAACACTAAGGATATTTAACTAAATGAGCATTTTAGACCTCTGACTATATATTTATCCATATTATGCTGCTTTGACAATTTTTAAAATATCATCTAATATTTTTCTTATGAGATTTTTTTCTCCATGGTCATCAGAAAGACATGGGAGACAACTAGAAACTATCATGGTTTAATGCATATTAATTAGTTCAACGGACCCATTCTCCCTAAGTATACATATCATAAGGCATCATCTTGTATACGGAAAGGGTATAGAATTTATTTTTGTTGATTAAATCAAGTTCATTAAAGAAAAAAGAATCATACCTTATAATATGGAATATTATAATATGGAATCAAAAATTCCAACATTATATTTTATTAATAGCATAGTGCAATATTTTCCCTTTGCTACTAAGGATGAAATTAAAAGCAGAATAAATAATTTATTTAATTCTGAAGGACATGGACTTCTTAAAAGCTATGATTCAAACTCCAACTCCTTTCAACTTTAGTTTTTCTCCTTTCCTCCCTTTCCCCTTTGCCTCCTCCCCTCTTTCTTTCTTTTTACTTAAGCATAGTAAGTTGAAGTTGAGCAGGATAGATTTGGAAAATACTTTACTTGTATGCAAAGGCGGCATTGTGACGTTGGGCCTGGATCTGGGTTTTGTACATATAAAATATATTGCAATTAAGTTTACAAAATTTCAACTATATTCCTAGATAAAATTATTCGTGTTAACATGATTTGATGTGATAGTAGGGGTTTTCATAGCAGGATACAAAACCGGTACTGACAGGAAGATACCATCCGTGAGTAAGAGTGAGGGGTAGTTTGCAGACGAGTAGGGGAAAACTCAGGCACACAGCACGGCACAGTGATCAGACGCGGTCTAGACGGAAGAGAAGCCACACTTAAAGGGGAGAACAACACGGTGTGCTCAGGGCTCGCTGAAACCCAACGCCACCTTGTTACCTAGTGAAACGAGAATGCAGATGAAGCACTTTAGTGGCTTTGCTTTCTATTTATTTCAGTTTTAATTTGAAGGGCTGAGCATTACTAGATGCGATCGATTAGGAAAAATATATAAAGAATTAAAAAGTCAACTTTCAAAGCATTTAACCCAGTTTCAGAAACTCTACCATTGCTACTGTTTTCCTTTTCACAGCAGTGAGATCAATTTTCTTCAGATCACATTCTTTATTGGTGCATGCTTATGGTACACAATATTTACTTTCGTTGCAGAGAGTTGTTACCTGTACACAACATGTCTTCATTCCGTTTTTGTCCCCTTTACCTTCTCTCCCTCCCACCTTCAGAAGCCTCTTGATCCCTCCCCACTTTTTGGTCCATGTTTGCAGGACACAAAGTTTGCATACTTATATGGAGTTGGTACCTGTATATTACACATCTTCATTCCTTTTTTCATCTCTTTCCCTCCTCCCAACCCTCCATTTCTTGATCCTTTTCCCCTTTGAGAAACATCTACCTCCTTACTTCCTATGGTCTCTCTTTTATTTTGATCTTCATTTGGTTTTCTCATATAAGAGAAACCATGCAATAGTGAAACTTATGTGACTGATTTAATTTACTCAATACTATGGTCTCACATACATCAAATTTTCTACAAATGACTCAAGTTTACTTTTCATTATGGAAGAGTAGTATTATCTTCTGCAAACACCAGATTTTCTTTATTCATTCATCAGTTGATCGACACACAAGCTGCTTCCAAGATTGAGCTACTATGAATTATGCTGCTACAAACATGGGTGTACATCTATTACTATAATATAATGTCTTTAGCTCTTTCAGGCACATGCTTTGAAGAGGAATAGCTGGGTCAAATGGAATTTGCAGTTTCAGTTGTGGAAGGGAATCTCTGCGATAGGGATTCCCATTATAGCAGTCAACATTCTCACCCAGAGTGCAGAAGGGTTCTTTTTCTCTTTGCAATCTTGTCACCATTTGTTTTTATTTGATTTCTTGATTTTGGTCATTCTAACTTGGGTAAAATGGAATCTCTGTGTTGTTTTAACGTGAATTTCTCCAATGGCCTGAGGTTTTGAGCATTACTTCATGTATTTATTAATCATTTGAACTTTTTATAAGAAGCATCCATTCATTTCAGTTTTTCATTTTAAAATTTGGATTATTTATTTCTGAGGATCTAATTTTTGTTATTTCTGCCTATGTTCCAGACATTAGTCTTCTGTCTGAGGAATAGCTGGAAATTTTTTCCCATTCTGTAGGCTGTCTTTTCACTCTGTTGGCTGCTTCTTTTGCTGTGCTGAAGTTTTTAATTTGACATAATCCCATTTGTTGATTCTTGGTACTATTTTCTGTTCAACTAAGATTCTGTTCAGAACAACCTTGCCTGCTCCTATGGTTTTATACATTTTACTTTTAAGCTGACTGAACCTTATAGATACTAAATATTTGACTAAGATAAAAAATTGTAAGCTTCAGGTTTTTAAACTCAAGTCTAATTTCTTTATAATTTAATATTTAAATAAAAGATATTATTCTCCTTTATCTGCTACTGTAAAACCATATCATGTGAACATATATGCAAATCCTGAAATATACTGAAACACTACCACTCAAAAGAAATGAGAAAACAGAGGGGTTATCAAGTAAATTACTGTAATTAAATTACTTCCTATTTATTTTACATGCATATTTGAATTGCAGTCTGAAGTCATAATAGTGGAGAAATGTTTTGAATTTATATGAAATGAAAAAATGCTGTCCTGTTTCACAGAGATAAATTTAATCATCCAGAAATTTTACATGTCTTTGTGTGAAGACCATTTTACTATACCGTCATTCTGAATTACATCCTTCAAAGAAAAAGACAGAGTGTATTTATAAACAAAAGATCCATTTCTTTAGAATCCAGGGCTCTTTTAGCAAGAACATTTCTCTTATGAAGCAATTAAACAGCAAATGTGACAAAATTACAAAGTGAAATAATATTCATTTGAATGGTAATGTCAAGAAAACATGTATCTCATACATAAATAACTCAAAAGAAAATTTCCCACAGCTAGCAGTATTTGCTGTGACTGTAGTACTTACCCTAAAAAATAAAACTTGCTTCTGATGTACTTTAAAACATACATTTTTAGTGCCTAAACATATTCGAGATAATTTCTTCAAATTGACTGATCACAAGGTGGTTTGGCTTCTTGTGTGATTATATCGCTACGTGCTTAATGGGTATATGGGCATTTCCATGCATTTCCTTCTGTAAATCTGATGGAAAAAATTAAAGGAATTTGCATTTGTAATATGCGTGTGCAAATAGTTTGCTGTTTGATTGTTGCCTGAAAATGGATTCTTCCTAGAATATCATCACGTCCTCCAATTTATATGATGACAATAACAAGCACCCTTGTGCTAATAACTCACCATGTGTCACACACTGTACGAGGCGATTTGTAAACAGCTTCTCATTTAACTCCTAGAATGATGATGTATTATTTTGTCAGTTTAGGAAACTAAATGGCAAAGCAATATTATTTTTAAAACTTCAAGAAAGGTGACTATGAACTTTAAATTTTACTGGGCCCGGAAGTGCATGCCTGTAATCTCAGCACTCTGGAAGGCTTAGGGAGTACCATGGCAAGACCACGACTGGCCACTCAGGGAAGCCCTAGCTCACAGTGAAAAATATAAAATCATAAAGTCTTGGGATGTGGCTCAGAGTGAAGGGCCTGGGTTCAGTCCCCAGGGCCACAAAATAAGAACCTTAACTCTCTATCACTCTCTCAGGTGTTAACGTGCCTTTGATACCTGTGTTTGTCTTAAAGAAAACTTCCAAAATAACACTGAGAATATCATTTTAAACATGGAAATAATGCACAGAATTATAAAAGAGTTCTATCTGAAATCCTGTAAGATAAAGGGTTTTATTTGAAAAATGTTTTCTATAAGAGTTATATAATTTGTATAACCTCAGTAAAAGATATTTGTAGATGTTTTCCACCTGTTACTAAGCTACAGAAAGATATTGATGGTTCCCATTACTTGAATTTTAAATGATAAAACCATCTAATAAGCTGATGTAAATTATACATTATGGAATTAGATCAATTAAGAGGTGAGATTCATACACACACAGACCCACACACACACATGAATTT